TTCTTGGGCTCGGAATCATTTAGGCCATGGTGGGTAGCCGCTGCGTGCATGCTACCATATCATGTCCGGAAGCCATAATCACATTGACGCCTTGCTTGCCCTTCTTAACGGGTGTTTCGCCATCCCCAAGTGCTTTTTGCTGCGAAGGCGTGTCACGCCCCCAAACCCAAATTCGAGGCGTGATAGACGCCGTGCACTCGTGAGACGGGTCCCACAAGTGCACAAGGCTCGGAACTTATTCAAATCACAAACTAATACCATCAAAATCTGAAGATCAAATTATAAAATCTCTTTGATATCATAAATCTCCAAATACAAGATCATAATTTATTTCTAAATCTATGCTCAATCTCGAAATGGCTAGCCTTCTAACTCGTCACTCCCTTCGGTTTCCCCGACCTCGGTTTCACTTCCTGAAATGGTGGACAAGGAAAACTATGAGATAAACTCAGTAAGTAAATATAGATAGCCCTCGGTAAAAACTTTAGCATGCCAGATAAACAGTTTCATATAACCAAAACGTTCAATGATAAACCCTTAATGCAGAATCAAAATCAGTTCAGTTGCAAAACATTCAATGACAAACCGTCAATGCAAAATCAAATTCAGTTCAAAAGCAAAGCGTTCCACAACAAATCATTCATGCAGAAAAATTCAGTTCAGTAGTCTCATCTATAAGTCATGGCCAGCGTTTATAAACCTCCCACTGGCGGGCACAGTAATTGCCAATGTTTAACCCCATAGGCAAGGTTACAAAAGTGCCAGTGTTTAACAACTCCCACTGGCAGGCGTCAGTAATGGTGCCAGTGTTTACAACTCCCACTGGCAAGCGACAGTAATTACCAATGTTTAACCCCATTGGTAGGGTGAACCGGTTCTATCAGTAAACATGTCGACATGTGTTAGCGTTTATAAACCTCCCACTAGCGGGCACAGTAATCAGTAATCATGACTATATCCGAAACAAAACCATGCAGAGTTTACAGAAAACCCGAATTTCACAATCAATCCCAATTTCAGAAATAACCAGAAAAATTCCATGTGGGCATGGATTTATCAGAAAACTCAAATTTTACAAACTCTCAGTTCATCAAAACAGTTCAGTCAATTCCAAATAGGCATGCTGTACTCAATACCAATGAAAACAGTTTCATTTCAAACCAATCATGCTCGGTGCAATAACTCCAGAAAAACAATGAAATTCTCACTTTCATTCCAAACATGTTCAATTCCAGAAAACAGTGAAATTCTCATGAAAACCATCACAATTTCCATTTCAGTTTAATCACATTCAGATGCTGATAAAATCAATTTAAAATCACTTTAAACCTTGCCACCATCTCAAAAATA